ATCAAACACTCAGCAAAACCTTTCGAKKCGTCAATCCTGGCTTTGCGATCATTTGTTGAGCTTCACCACGCTTGGACCATGATCTTTTTCGCACATTTYCACTTTTCKTMTTCTGTTACCATCCGATTCAGAAATGGTTCGATTTGATTKCGTTTCAGCAAATAATCGCAGATGCTAATTCGGTCCATTAATTTTTTCATAGACAATTCATGTGGTATCCAAACATCGAACTTCTTTTTGCCAGCCTTTTTTAAATAGTTCAAACCCGTTTGAATGTTAAGTTCTTTAGCGATGTCAATAATGCTTATGTGATGGTCCTTGAAAATTTACATGTACTCTACATAACTCATACTCAGACCGACATATTCGTCATCAGGTTTGTGAGAAAAATGAAAATCAATATATGTTGAATATTGGAGTTGGTGGTCCTTGGTTGCATTAAGACTCTCATACATTCATCAACCATATGAAGCAAAGTCAGCCTAATGTTCGAATATCATTATATTAATTANCAACCATATGAAGCAAAGTCAGCCTAATGTTCGAATATCATTATATTAATTATATGGAAGTTAAGTAAAGTTTTCGTCCAGTTGTCGCTATTTTAGACACATATATGAGTAAAACTGACTCTGTAATTTTCATTGAGACAACTCAAATATTGGCCGATATATCCAGCATTAAGTCACCTGGAAGTTCGAAAATCTTTATATTATGTATATGGGGGCACAGGTAAATATTGACTCGATTCAGATTTCGAAAACATTTTCTCTGAATTCCAATTGTATATTCTATTCATTGACCGATATTTTCGGTAAAATGTCAACTATAGATATATAGAGGGCTTGAAGAGTTTTAGTTGAATTTGGGAAAATGTTGGTCATAAGGTGGCATACTTTGAAAGAATTATTAGTGCAAAGTCCCGTTATATTAACACTTCTTGATTTCCTGATTTGTGTAGTGGAAAGAATCAAATGGAATTCAAAATTGTGCTAAGTTCGAATAAGGCGTGGTGATTAAGCCCATTTTCGATTTTTGAGAATAATGCCACCTATTGAATTTAGGAGAAATCGGTTAAGCGGGTTCCAACATATGTGATTTCACCAAAAAGGGGGGAGTAGTTTTTAACAGCACCGTTACATGGGAAGTAAGCGGGGTTTATCTTTCGATTTCATTTATTTTTACACTGTCGATATAAGTTCTTATAAGATTAGTGCTTAGTCGTTGTAGCGTTAGTGGTTTAGGAGATATGTACATTAAATTAATTAGAGGGCAGTGCGACGCCCACTTTTTGCTCACTGGTGCTTCTTGCTACTGCGATCGCTTATGCCAAATCAGATTTTACGGCCATGGTAGTGGTGCAATTATGTCCAGATACGTACTCGTAAAATTTCGCGTACCAAATTCCATCAATGTTTACTCATGTTACAGCTTGCACGGACGGACGGACAGACCGTCACTCTTACTTCAAATCGACTCTTCATTTTTAGATTAGTTTTAGGTGATACGTACGACTGTTAGGTGAACACGCTATTATACTCTGTAGTAATAAGAGTATAAAAATTTGCATGATTCTGCCCTCTTTCGCTTCAATCCTGGCAAGTTGCAAGAATATGAAATGTTCGGTTACATCCGAACTTAGCCCTTCTTACTTGTTATTATTAAAAGTTGATACTTGACTATAAGTTCTTACAAGAACATATAAGTAAATATAATATATGCATATAGTATACGTTTCAATATCAGGCAATCTTACTTCTTGCCGCCAATGCTCGCACCAATGTCGTAATGTTTCTCGTTAGGTCTGTCGCACTATCCTAACCGTTGTCTCTCTTATATTTAGAGGCTTTTAATTCTAGTCACATACTTTCCCGCGGATTTATGACMAGATATAGTGCGCTTATATATATTTTTCCAAATACAGTAATATTAGTGTCAGTCAAATTTTATTAAAATACCGATTGATTGATTTAAGGTGAGTTGGTTGGGYATAAAAAAATTCCATTTCACTTAGATTATATATCTAGCTATAGACATCTGTATATTTATAGTAGGTAAAAAACGATTTAAAGAAATTATACTGGATCCATTTTGCATATCATACCTAAAAATCTGTCGGACAATTCCACAAATTAATAACAAGTAAAAAAAAAAAAACGGGAACTGCAAGTTGTACATGTTTTTTTTTACACATTTTATGAGATCTTGTCCGATTTTCAGAGATAATTTGAACGAAATACCAAAKGTGCGTGTCCGATCATTGGAACGTTTTTATTACCACTCTAGGAATAGGTTTTGTAAAAAAATATTAAAGAAAATGTTGTGTTCATGGAATTTTTGCGTTTATAGGAGGTGTCCAGTATTTGGGAATTTCACAGTATGTACATATGTACATATRGTAAATAAAATATTCTTTATAAACACTTATAAATTAAATATAAACCTTTAAGCCGGTATAATTGAAAATTTTTAAATTTTTTCCAAAAACCCTTGTGATCGAAAAATCTTCAATCACGAAAATAKAAGGGGACACCCGGGTTTGAACCGGGGACCTCTCGATCTGCAGTCGAATGCTCTACCACTGAGCTATATCCCCAACTATTGTATAMCACCGCAAACAAACACTTGTGGCGCCGGCCAAGATGTGGGGAAAAGAAAACATCAAAAAACAAATAATCAATATTTCCGGCGAGAATGCGCGGGCGTCACAAGGCGGGCAGTTTGCATTCAAGAATGTAGAAACAAGCAATCTGAGAAAGAAATAAAAACGAAATGTTGACTATCTGCAAATGTGATAAAAATGAAGTGGCTGGCGTGGGATGATTTACTGCTTTTAGTAGAACGTTAGTGAGAGGAAGCGATTTAGTTCGTTCAAGCACTTCGTTTACTTAAGATTTTTAAATTGACGTTGCTAAAAAAACTTGTGGGAATTTCGGTGACATAAAGTGTACTCGATCGACATTGTCAAAAATCCGAAGCTTGTCGAAAACGTYCCGTTGTAAAATGTTCATCCGTCGTTGCACCAGATAATATGATTTTTGAGTGTTTTTAGTAAAGTAAATGTTTGGATCAAAAAATATTGCTTTTGGAAATAAGGTACTATTATTCTGCAGAGAACATACAACACTTCTTACCAGTTCTCTGTATTTTATTTAGTCGTCAAAAAATCATATGATTCAAAGTGATTGTCTGTATAAGTTGCTCTAATTTATTATAGAATTGAACAAGTTTATTCACAGAAACACCACATTAAAAATGACATTTTCATCATGTTATCGCTCACAATTTTTAACTTGCTGTATCAAGGTCAGTAGTTACTATAGTATACTATAAATATCAGAAAGTATAAAAGGCTTCTAGTTTACTTTTGAAACATTGTGTTGTATAAAGAACAAACGTTGCKAAAGTGTCAGCTGCTTAAATAAATAATTCTTCATATCAATTGTCGTACGTATGGCTTTGAAAATAATGTCAACTGATAACAGTTTGCCGATATAGCTGTCAAACAAAAGCAACAACAACTAAAGCATGTTGTTACGAATAGAAAAGCTTAAAAGTAAACAACAATGTTGTTAGCACACGTGATTCAATTTGCACTGAAATGTATAAATATATATGTATATATATATTATATACATATATGTACCTACCCACATTGTACTAACCATATATACCCTTACACTTAAGTAAGTAACAGGTGATCGATGGCGGTGATCAATATTTCGTTAATGCCTTGATTACTGATTTATTTATAGTTTAATTCCAAACTGTGCCTATGGACAATATTGGTGTATTAAGGGGTTATGGAAGTTTTTTCGTTGACAACGAAATTACATGTAAAGTATGTAATAGAGCGGTTTGAATTATGAACTACGACAGTTTGAGCAAATCCCTTATTTGTTTATAGATTTGCATTMACGAAATATTAAACGTGTGCGTTTTTGTATCTAGTAATTAATTTCCATATAGGTTTAAGTCGGCATGATCAAATGTAAATTTTCTTTCTTGTAACCGACTTATGTACAAAACGATTAAATATTTAAATATAAAAATGCATAAKGAAAATAGTTGAAAAATAAATTTGTTTGTATATATTACTATRAGCAAAAAATAGTAASACGTTAAAAATTCTTAATTTATTCTTTAAAYCCATGTYGTTCCCCTCAAAGTAATCCTTCTTGGCCCCAATACATCGTTATAGTCAATATCCTGAATAGYATTCAATGCGCGTGGCGATTCATGTTTAATGGCTTCAATTGACTCAAAATGGGGTTTTCGGAGCGGGCATTTGCATTTGCTGAATAGCGAGAAGTCACTCGGAACTAAATCAGCAGTATGCGACGGTGCATTATCATGGTTGAAAAACCATGTTTCGGTCCATAACTGTGGTATCTTTTTAAATAGCTTCGCGAAAACGATACATAATACTCAAATAGTATTCCTTGTTGACAGTTTGGCCGGTCGGTCGACTTGGAGTGCACCTCATCTCGATAATGAAAAAAAAAAACTGTCAACATAACCTTAATTTTTGATCTGCTTTGACGTGGTTTTTTGAATCACCTTTGCTACGATATTCGGCCGACTGATCGTCTGTTTCCGTGTCGAAAGCATAGATCTAAGACTCATCGCCAATAATATTACGTTTCATGATCTCCTGGTACTAGGTAAGCATTGTTTCGCAGACCTTATCGCGGCGCTATTTTTCAAAAAAATTTAGTGATGATGGTACCTTAATTTTGAAAGCTTAAGTAACTGTTCTTAAGCCCCATCGAATACTGCGCACCTATGTAATTACAATACCATAAAAACACCTTCGACAAATTTGAAGAAATAGTAATTTGGTGATAAAATTTGGTTACAGAAATAGATTCAGAGTATCAAATTTCAAATTCTGTTTCAAAAATCAAAGTACAACAATAACGGAAATATTCAATAATGACATGAAAAACAAATAAACACATACATACATAAGTTCATAAAATAACATAAAATACACAAGATCAAAAATAAATATTTCTTATAAAAAATTTCAGTTTTCGATATCAAAATCATTTTATTTTACTATGAATATACGCACTTGGAGTAGAATGCTGCAATATGTTTTACCAATTGGCTTTCTCGGCTCTGCAGCGTGGGAGGCTAAGCGCTGTAAAAACTTATATTCAATAGTTATTGTATTAATTCTATGTGTTTAACAATAAATTTTATTTTTATCCAATTTCAGCAACCGCTGGTTCCCGCTTTGGCTATTCGGAACCGAATCAACGACGTTGGGCTCGTCACCATGGCCATTGTGCGGGCAAGACACAATCACCAATCGCAGTACACTCGGCTAAAGTAAATACCACAGACAGTCTGAATAATTTGTCAATGGAGGCTTTGCAAAATTTAGAGTTTGGTTCGAATATTGTAAATTTATTTTCGTCTTATGAGTAGTGTGTTAACTGTTGTGGTTGTGTATTGCAATTAAACGACATACAATGTAACTGGAAAATTTTTAGTATTTGAATCACCATGATTTAGGCTATCATATAATATTAGTTGAGAGACTTTTTATAACTCCAAAATGTGTTTTATAATAAGAAAAGAGAATAGTTTTAATCTCGGCTTTTAAAATTTTTGACAGGCTTACTACAGACAAACAGCTTCCTATAATTTCTCTCGAGAGTTAATAGACATTTTTCATATAATATCTTTCATTTCCTCTTTTTTCTGGTGCTATAGCAAGCAGGTTTAGGAGTTGTTTTTTGAATTGTAATTATAAAGGGGGATCTCTTGTTCAGCTTCAAATTAGTCATAGGAGAACATGGAATAAGAGCAATATTATTCGTCATTTACTTTATCTACAAACAATTTTATTTTAAGACAAGTTTAAAGTTTCTGAAATAAGTAAATAAAATGTTTGACAATAATTGTTAAAGAAATTTAACATTAAAAGGAATACTTCCTTATATACCACTTACAGGAAGTATCTGCATATTTTCTTGTATCAAAACTCGCTTACTTTTTTGCTTGTATGTATGAAGTTTTAAGATACATATAAGATGAGAAATTGGATCCACATCAYTAAATATCCTAGATATACCCGAACCTAACAATTCTATTTATTTATCATCACTCACCTATCGTTACAGAACTCTCTTTTCATAATAATAATCATCTTCCTTAACCATCGACCTTACAAAGTATCTGGGTTAGATATGAGATATATTTATTTTATATTACACTTACATATATACATATATACATATATGAAAGTGAAAACTTGTCACTCACATATTTTACCTTCATTCCATATTTGGAAAATGTTGACTCATGSGCACAGTGAAATCACAAATATAGTCAAAGGCTGGTTTACGCTCATAAAATGAATATACCTTTTATAACAATAATTTTGCATTGCATTGAAATTTGGAAACCTCAACCAATCGCTTGAAATCGAACTTAATACTTTGTTAACTTAATTTTTCTATTTTAGTCTATTCCATTGAATATGCCAGCTGTAGACATGATTGGTTACCACAATTTGTTACCAAACCCACTTGTGATGGTTAACAATGGACATACTGGTGAGTAACAGAAAAATTATTATTATTTTAATTTGAATCAGMTGATTTAGCTTATCTATAACTTAACTGTGTTAGAAACACGGGTGAAAAGTTTTGGAATAGCCGAGAGATCTTCAAGCCAAAAAAATCTCCATCCATGCTTTAGAGTACAAAACTTGACTAGAACACTGTCAAAGTTCACTTACATTTCGGTCAATCATTATTCAGTTACTAGTCTCACAAAGATGTTTCCTCTGCTATTTTTCTTCAGCTCTTGAATTTCTTCAGCTTAAATACCCATTGAGCAAAATTTGGTTCGAAAACGTCGGATCTTCTTAAAACTTTTCAAGAGTCCATAGAGCGAAGCGATGTCGCTTGGGAAGGTTGAGCGGATTCATTAGACATGAGTCCGATGAAGTAGTMCAAAACGCTCGAAAACAGATCAAAGTTTAGGTAAATCAATACACAATGTCACTGAGCGTTATCGCCTCGGGTTTTGATATCAAAGTTAGGTCTGCCAATGTATGTTAATASAAGTTAAATACGTACCAGTTTAAATAATTAGACCATTTGGTTTAAATTTAAACTAATTACAACAAAATTAGATTTCTTATAGCACAGAGAGCATTAGTATTACAGAACTTCAAATATATGATAAATATTCACGCATGCAATCACTGTATTATATGGTACTTCAATGCAAATCACTTCACATGCAGGAGAATCTTCTTCCATACAATTCTAAACTCTATTTAAAAATATTCCAAGAATTTTCAATATCACCATTGATTTTACTCTACTCTGCAGTCGCCATCAATATACCTAAACTGACCGAGGAGGAGAAGGCAAATGGCGACTTTATGCCGTACGTACGCGGCGGTAAATTGCCAGGTGAATTCGAAGTGGAGGGTGTGCACTTCCATTGGGGCGATAAGAACAATCGAGGYGCTGAGCATGTGATCAACGACATCCGTTACACGATGGAAATGCATATTGTGCATCGCAATAAGAAATACGCAACACTTGCGGATGCGCTGGAGTTCGCCGATGGTGCTGCTGTGCTGGGATTCTTTTTCAATGTGAGTTGATTGAATGCATAACGGTTTGAGTAGTTTGACAAAGGAAGTGCAATTCTGACTTTTTGTGACGCTGTTATGAGGTTATTGCCAAAGAGATTTGTTTGTTATTACCTATTTTGCTTATAATTTTTTGTTGYTTACAGTTAGACGAAGATGATAGTCAAGGGCTCACAGCGATTTGTCGCCACTTGCACTTGATACCGGAAGCAAATGATGCTATGAATTTGACGATTACCTTCGCATTGTCATCGTTGATAGCCAATGTAGATGTGGATAARTTCTATACATATAAAGGTGAGAAAATTTTCGCATTTAATAAATTTATTGTGAAATCTAGTGTGGGAGAGGTTAAATAATTCTATAATTAATTATTATCGTAATTAGCAATGATTTWTGAGTAAATGTTTATTATCTTGATCTTTCTCACTGCTTTGCCAAATCAATGGAAACTGCATTAATCCACAGAAATACAGACTAGACCTCAAAATTTTTACTTRAAACGTTATAGTTCMCACGTTTGTAACGWTAATTAGTCACGGATTCCGGATCAAGATCCTCGAATCGCTAGTCGGAATTAYCTKGAGTAAGGACAAGAAACACTTGACAGCCTGGCTCCAGGTGTGGATGTAACTGAAAAAGACAAATCTGAACACCGCACTTCAGACCATCACAGAACGTCTCTTAATGTATCCCGTAAAACACCTTCATAATGTCATAACATTACATGACATGACAGGCAGTTTCTGTTGAGAKGTTTTTGCAGACAACTAATAAGACTTCCATCGAATCCCTCCCAATGAATGGTTTAGAGTCGAAACACTACTCATTGCAGACCATGGGCTCGAGCTACCAGAAAACAGAGTGACCCTAGCGTGGCTTCGATCTGGAAACTTCATTTCTTATTTATTGACGCAGACTCCGCTTATRCGGTTATTGACGAGTTTTCGTTGTTTGGCGCCAATTGTAGATTCTAAGTCTAGCCAGGTCCAGGACCTAAGGACCCTTTTCACCTGGTCTTTCSAGCGGAGTGGAGGTTCTCCTCTTCATCTGCTACCCCGGTGGGTACTGCGTCGAATACTCTCGGAGAATGGCATGACCTAGCCAGCGTAGCCCCTGTCTCTTCATTCGCTGAACTATGTCAATGKCGTTGTATATTTCGAACAGCTGATCGCTCCATCGACTGCGGCATACGCCGTTGCTAATGCGCAAAATGCCCTTAAATCTTTCGCAGAASCCTTCTCTCGAAAACTCGTAATGCTGACTCATCGGATGTTGTCACCGTCCATGCTTTAGCACTTGTTGGCAAAAGTTACTCTGCGTTGGATTTCGATGCTGACGTTATTGTTGGTATTAATGCTGGTTGCAATATAGAGGAAATTATCTACGACTTGGATTTCGTGCATATTATGGATTCTCCTTTTTGTGGATTGAACAGACGTTCGACCATATTCTTTATGAGTTCTTCGCCACCGTATTTGAATAGCTTTTCCGGCAATTTATCGACCACCGCCCCTTTGTTTTTCTTCAGACGGGTAATTGCTATTTGGGGAAATTGAACGTCTGCTCTATCGTCAGCGATTGTTGGATCAGGTTCTCCATCTCCTTGAGAAGTGTTCTCTCCCTAACCTTAGGGAGTTCTATAAGAGTATGCTCTGGTCTTGAAACCTTCTATTAGTCGTCACATATTTTCGTAGAATTTTCGAGCATTACTCTTACCGGCCAGTTTTTTGAGCTCTTCTTTGGACTGCAAATGCTTCTGGCTTCCCTCTTTAACCCTCGACATATATATCCCATCCCGCTCGTATTGTGGTCGATCGTAACGTCGGCAATCTGTTTTTTCTCCACTTCGACATAGCACTTCTCTTCGAACCAGCTGTTCTTTTGACTTTTCTGAGAATTAATGGTTCTTTTGCAACTGTACATAAGTAGTTTAAAGTATCGCGCCAAATTTCGCTTATACCGATCTGGATACTATGGTAGGTTAAGCCCCACTTATCCAGAAGAGACCTCTGCATCTACCGAAATATTCGTCCCCACTCTCCCTTTGGTCGGAAGTAGCCGATTAAGTGATTCCGATGACAGTTGGTTTTGAACTTTTCCTCATACAGGGACCTAACCTTTGATCAGACATCAAATTGCACCTAGAATTTTAAAGCTTCTCCAATTCTGTTCACGTTTGTCGCTCTATGACATCTTATCATCTTCACATCGTTCACAATTAGGATTAAATTCGTCTTGGATGGAAACGAAAAAGTTTTGCCTTGTCCTATTCGGTTAATCAAGAAGCAAACATTGTGACATCCATTAAATTAATTTGCAATTGTAAGCTCAAAATTCCGTTCGCGGAATTTTCTGTGCCAAGCTTAAGGCATTTTGGTTCACCAGCTATATAATAGGTTAGCAGCAAATTGCTTCAGTGTCCACAGATTCAATAAAATAAATTTTCGAAAGTAAAATCCGGTGCCATACTGTACTGTAACTATATCTCTAAGTTTTACTGTTAGAAAAGTTTTAAACATTAAACACGAAACTTTACAAATCCTATTAACTTCACTTTGTTAGAGGGCATCGAACAATGTCAATAATATCATAAATAATGTTCACCTTAATGCCGCGCGTTAATGTTTGCTTTACAATATTGGCTGTCTTCAATACAATTTTCATATTTATCATTTTGATAAAATCAGTTGAGCATACATATTACATTCATTAGCTTMATTTAATTGCAATAAAGTGCAAAATTCACACTTGAAAGTAACACTAACACTGACAGAGGGGATGTGAAGGTGAAGAAAACTACCTAATCTAACTGAAATTAAATATTTCATTAAGAAAGTTTGCTTGAAATACCTTTGAAATATTTGAAAATCAATACTCGTATGTACTTAGTTATGCAGTCAAAATTATCAAATAGCTTTATTGAATCAGATTTACTTAATCAGATTAAATTGGCACACAACTATAAGCGTATATTGAATATGTTACATAAGACTGAATGAAATTTATTCGACACTGAATCCAGTTGGCACACCAAAGCACGCACAAAGCCATCAAGTACATACATATCTATGTATATATACACATCGAGAATTATTGCCATTATTAGCGTAGAATTAGCAAAATATAGCAAAATAGCTGGAATTGAACAGAATTCAATATGCAAACAACATCGCAGCGATATTATCGAAATCGGTAACGCAGAGAAGGTGCACTACAAACCTGTATGTGAAGGGGTGTGTAAATATGCACGCGGYGACAGATGTACAAGTGCCAAACATGGCGCGAACAATGAATACAAATTGACCGCCGAATTTTGGCTGTTAACCAAAAAGAATGTGGGAATGGTTGTAGAATGATGGCAAAAGATTTTATTACTTTCGGTTATGAGGATGGATGGGTGTACTTTGCATACAAAATAACATGATTTTATTTTTTGCTAATGAGCTAAATTTGCTTACCAAAGCCAGACATAAAGATATTTTATCTTTATTCGTCGATGTACGATGATATAATTTGTGTTTTGATTATTCATGCATTGCAGGTTCTCTGACAACGCCACCCTGTTCAGAGGCCATTACATGGGTGCTCTATCCCGATCCGATACCAATCTCGCCGAAGCAGGTATGTAAATTTTTGCAAGAATTACAATGACTTCCTCCTTCTTATAACATTTTCCTTTATCCACAGATCGCACGCTTCCGTCAACTACAAGATACTCAAGATGGCGCTCTGGTCGATAATTTCCGTCAATTGCAATCAATCGGTAATCGTCGCGTCTTTATGCGCAACGGTAATAACAGGCATACACTTGTGGAGGCATTGAAGAAAGAACTAGACTATCAGAAGTGGGATTGGTACAATTGATTCGGTGGCGCAGAACAAATCGTGAAACAGCTCATGTCGCTTTTAACACTTCATTATCGGACAGACAACTGTCTCGGAGTTTACTTTTAAGTTAATTGAATATTCTATTTATTACAGATATTAATATATTTAAGCGCATKGTTTATAATAGTACGCTTGAAGCGTGCAGCTACTCATATTATAAGCAGCCGCTCTTAATATTGCTGTTTTCATTTTTATCAGAGAGATATACCAATAAGCGAATTAAATTGTATTAACAATAAAATTAGAATTTTTAATTGTTTAATAAAATGTAAATACTACCAAATCTTCTAAATTATTTATCTAATTGACGTTTATTACAAGGTAAATCTATTTAAACTGAAGCACAATATTTATGAAAGCTAATCCATTGGGGGTGACGCTTAATGGTGAAATTTACCTTTTAGGTACTTATTATCATTTAACAACCGCTTAAATTTAATTCTTCACGATTATAAATTGCTTTTACAGTTAAATTGTTGCAATTCTCAACGCGTATTTACGTTTCCGATAAATGAATTAAGTAGTAATCTTTAAATTTGTGAAATCTTCATATTSTTACTTGAAAACTAAAGGCTGTTAAAACTGAACTTTCTACATAATAAGCTTTGAGCAAATGGTTCATGGAAATATTATCACAGGTGTTCTGAATAGAGGTACTTTTTTCAAWAGCTTGTTTTTGACAGATCACGTGTGAATCATGTCAAGCTGTCATGTTATTCTYGGTCAGTATTGTTTGCGACTTCATTATGAAAAGACTTACTCGTGAACAATGTTTATAAACCATTCAAACGTTGTTACTGAAATTCACGTTCTGAAAATAATGTGTTTCATGCGCTTCGCTCAACTTATCGTCAGCACAATCGGCCTAATGAGCGGACTATCCACTCGCAGCAACTAGGACTGACGTATGGAACGGCTTGGCGCTTTTTCGGTCGAGATCTTAAATTGAAAACGTACAAAATACAGATCGCTTCGCTCTAAGGGCTCTTGAAAAGTTCCAAGAAGATCCCACGATGAAACCCATTTATGTCTTAATGGGTATCTAAACAAGAAAAATTGTCACATTTTGGACGGAGAGCAACTTGAAGATTCGAGAGCTGAAATTTCATCCAGAAAAAAAACGGTTTGGTGTGGTTTGTAGGCCGGTGTAATCATTCATCTCAATTTCTTCAAAAATGATGTCTGTGAGAATGTAACCATCGCTATCGGTGCCATGATAACCGATTATTTGATGCCTGAAATTGAAGCTCGTGATCTCGGCGACATTTGGTTTCAGCAAGACGGCGCCACTTCCCACACATCGCATCAATTAATGGTTTTATTGAGAAAAGACTTCGGTGAGCAGATAATTTCACGTTTTGGGCCGGTTGATTGGCCAACAAGATCATGTGATATCACACCGTTGGACTTGTTGCTGTGGGGATATGTAAAGTCTATAGTCTTTGCACACAATCCCGATTCGATTCAGGCCTTAGAGCAAAACATCATGCGTGTCATTGCCAGTTGAAATTTTCGAACAAGTCATCGAAAATTAGACTCAACGGATGGACCATCTCTGACGGTTGCCTGACCACGGCACGGTATTTGAAAGAGGTAATCTTTACAAAGGAATTGCCAAAGAATGTTATTTCGAATGATTATAAACATTTCCCATTAAGTTTGAAATTTTTGTGTTTTTTCCTTGGAGGGAACTTCTAAATGGTTCGCTTTAATTAGTTCCGAGTTCATGGTTCATGGAAATATATATACACTATATGATTTCGTTTAAGACATGAAAATTTTTTCTTGCCTTAGTTCGGTGGTCAATATAATACTTATGTACATATGCATGAGTTAAAATGTCGGCGACCTTACAATGAAGCAACGTTTTTTGAATGAAAATATGACCTTATTTTTCGCAATAATCACCATCTAAGGCAACCCATCTGTTGTTGTTGTTTTAACGATGACGCAACACATTGATACCGATTCGATAATGTGAAGCTTTGTGATTTTTGTTTCCATCTCGATCTCCTCATTTGAGTGAAAGCTTCCACTAGTGAGCTATGTTTTTGAAAAAGAGGAAGTAGTTGTTGGGGCCAAATTTGTGTCCCTCGGTGAGGGACCAGTTTGTAGCGTAATACCATCAATTAATTAGTAGTATTATATTTATCTGTTTCCTCGATAATGCACTCTACTATCAGGAAAACAGTTTTAAAGGGAATAGCTATTGTGATATTTCAAAAAAAAAAAAAAAAAAATGTTTTATTCTTGCTTAAATCGCTAGGCTTTAACTTACAACCTTACAATACGAAAATTTTAATTAATATTTAAAATAATTTTAAGGTTGCAGTCTGTCAAAGTCGATCCGCCAATAGCCAACGACAACCTTTACATGGGTCTCAATACTATATTTTTGATTAATGACTACTTGGAAACAAATGACTATATTTTGCATGTTCCATACAATGACTCACCAATTTTTGATAGGATCAGAAATCGAATTTGGTGAATTCAACTTTTTTATTACACGTATGGACAGGGAATATCACTTTTTGGTATCATCCACAGAAAAGGCTGGAATTACTGCAACAGTGAATTACATGTTTTGGCACCGTCGGAGATCATATTATTCGAAATATGTTAAATTTGTTTCTACAAAGTGAAGAGTGAAAAATCGAAAAGTAGATTTTCTACTAAAAAAGGCTTAGGCTTTTGACTTTTATCAGCTGCTACTCTATCATAAACTCTGATCTATTGGCCTGTCATAAAAAAAAAACCATACAAATAATTTGGAGATTTAGAAAAAAATAGAAATATTGTTCCTTTTTAAAGATGTTCGAGTAAAAAATCTTGTTTTGAATTAGTACCGATTTAATAGCAATTCGAGATTCAGTTGAAGCCTCCGCTTTATTTTATTACTACAGCAATTTGTAATTGATTGAAAAAAATAGTGTTTACTTTTGCTTTCCCTTTTTGTACAATTCCGTTGAAGTTGGTATATCTTCAACGAAGAAATTCGCCGGTATTAAATGGAAGACCTTTTGCAATATTTCCAACATGGTTGTTTCCACAGTTTCTGTTATGAGCGGGCGCAGCGCTTCGAAGAACTCACGCCAGTTTTCATTGAAGAAAAGATTAGTGCTACGTTCCACTTCTTTGCTATTGCCATTGAATATGTTTTCAAAATTCGTTTTTACCCCGCCTGGGTTCAAATCCATGCGCAGCTTAGTGACATTGTAGAAGGTGAAACCGCCTTTCTCATAGAGTCGAGTTTTGGTGCGCATTAGTAAGTTCAGGTTTTCTTGGGAAGAATAAAGTAATTATAGAAAAATTTACATACAGAAAAAAAGAAAAAAAAAAAAAAAAAAAAAAAAAATGTATATATATATATGTTTTACCGATTTCAATGAACATATGTCCGGCTCCGTTCAATGGTATCAAAAGTATCTTTCCAGACATTTTGTATTGACCCTCCAAACGTAGCTTGGGTATAAAAACTTTAGTYTCCCAACTGTAGTCCTTCTTGCTAACCCTGAAAAAGTTGATTACAAAATTTCAGCAAAAGTAATTATATGGAATTCAAAATGATAATTGTAACGGTAAATTGTATTTAAATAGTATTTAAAGGCGTCGCACCCAGTATTACGATTTTTTCTCAACAATACAAATATAARTTCGTAGCTCAATTCGACCGATTTGTGCGTAGTGATTGGCGGATACGTGGTAGAAATAGCATTTTTTTCCCCAAATGGGTTAATTTTGTCAGAAATTCGGCGTGGATCTGTTGAATAATTTGACATATAAGAGTGACTCTGCGACGTTTTAGGGCTTCTCTAGGTAGACGATGTAGATTCCACCTTGTGAATCTCAGAAAATAGTGGTAACCACATTTTCGTCTTATATGGCAGTCAACGCTCTCTTTAGAGGAGGTTACATTGTTTCGTTGAATAAAATAGGGATTCAATTCGTCTGAAGTTTTGATCGTGGCTCGTTTACGAGAATAATCGTAATTTCTTTTGCTAATAACCGTTATAAAGCATTGATGTTGTGTTCTATGCCTTCGCAATTGTGATAATAATCATAGACCTCTTTTGATGTTCAGAACTTACTTGCTTTCCTTAATAATCATACTCGACAGTCCAGTTGCCACCATTTCAGTGAGATTGGCATGCAGTTGCACAGCACCTTGATTATCCTGTGCGAACTGTATTTCCTTGACCTTCAACGGGTCAAATGTACCAATTACTTCCGCAACCTCCGGAATACCTTCAATATTTAAGATTTATCTTTTTATAGCACAATATAAATGCAAAATGAGTACCTWTGCCCAGTTGGATCATTAGCTTTTGTATACTGGAAGTTGAACATTTCACGAATTCGGGGTCATTGATTCGACACGTTTGCATGTAAGAGGCTGTAAATGGAGGCAAATGTTACKTTAACTATTGGAAGTATATAAGGGAGTCTATTAGAGTGGGTCGATTTTTTTTTATATATAAACGCCTATGTGCTACGGATCATACTGATCAATGGGTCTAAGCAATGTATTTTATACACTATATCTGCCATACAAACGACTAATTACAAAAAAAAAAAAAAAATAAAATAAAAAAATAAAAATAAAAAAGCATTGCCTTCTGACATTGTTAAATATATAATAGAGGATAGTTCTGCAAAATCACGCGCTCTTAGCTTTTTAATTAAAGGCCGTAAAATAAAGTATATGAATTATTTGTTTGGAGATATATTATATAGTTGTCCGTTCAGCCCGATTTCGACAAGTGATCAATACAGTGCTGAAATGCGTATATGTATCTACTCAAAAACTGATTAAAATTTTTTTATAACATCGGAAAACTAAATTTCGCCTTCGCTGCCTCGAAACCGGTTTTAGATAGTTTCGTGAGGAAAGTTGCGCAGAATGATCCGAAGAACATTTCCCASATAGACTTTCCAGTTTGTTTGGCTCCCTGTAAATTGGTCCACTCTAGTGTGTCTATACTATGTCTATATAATTGACCTAGCATACAACTTAATTACACTCATACGATGTTTTTATTCATAAAACTAATGTCATAAAAATTATATCACTAGAATAATTAAAATCTTACTCTGTGTGAGTGCATAATTAGTTCTGAACTAATTAAAATGGAAATATATGTAAATAATTCCCAGTCCAAGTACATAACATGGGGTTACTATTTACAATACTAAGGTAATATTTCAAAATACTCGTTTCCGACAAATACATTACTACATTACAACAATTTTAGGAGTAAGGTAAG